GGACTGTAATCTCGGAACTTGGGAGACTGAAGCAGGACTGCTATCAGTTCAAGGCCAACCAGGGCTCCATAGTGAGTTCAAGGCCAACCTGAACTCCATGGTGAGACCCTTTTTCAAACAAACAAGTAAACAAACCAAGCTAAGAATGGGAAGAAACCGCCATGTGTGGGGGCGCACGCCTGTAATCCCAGCACTCGGGAGGCTGAGGCAGGAGGATCGTTGTGAGTTCGAGGTCAGCCTGGGCTACAAAGTGAGCTCAAGGTCAGCCTGACTGCATAGCAGGACCCTGTCTCAAAAAGACAAAAAAGAATGGGAAGAAACCTCAAGCCCTCCAAGGGCATCTGTGAAAACCCTCAGCTAATCCCACCTAGCGGTGAAAAATTAAACAGTTTCCTCCTCAGATCATGAACTGGGTAAAGATGGCTGGCACTGTCTCTTCTGCATTGATTGGAAACTTTAGCAAGGACAATCATGCAAGAAAAAGAGAGAGAAGCACCCAGGGTGGCCAGGAAGAAGTAAAACCGTATTCAGATGGCATGGTCCTGTACACAGAAAACTTAACCCTGTGCATGTGAAAGCTGGACAGCTGGTGAACGAATTCAGCAGTTTCAGACTACAAGGTAGATTTACAAAAATCAGTTGTATTTCTATACACCAGACAACCTGAAAATGAAATTAAGAAAACAGTTGTGTGTGTGTGTGTATGGCTTGTATCTAGATGTCCCCTTAAACCTTCATGTGGTCGTAGGTGGGGGTTTTTGGAGATGGCTGGAACTAGGGTGTGTGATTCGGGGATTAAGTGTGTGATGCTGGGTTGATTACTAAATTAGTTCACTCATTGGTATGGCATAGTTCTGGGTGTGGATAATAGAAAAACCCACGTTGGGTGTGGGTGGCACCAGCCAAAGGTTGGATAGTGTGGAAGGACATAAAGAGACAACAAGAAGGCAGGCCTGCTGCTGCTGCTTGATTCTGTGCTGCTTGCTGCCTCCTGCCTGCCCTGCCACGGACTGTTTCTCCTCTCTAACCCCTCCCTCTCTGCCGAGCCGCCCTACCTTGGAGCCAGTGACTGTAAACTGAAACCTGTATAACTGTGAGCTAAAATAAACCTTTCCCCCTTTCACTTTGGGTGTTGGGTATGTTGTCTCAGCAATAAGAAAATAAGACAGTTTACAATAACAGAAAAAGAAAAAATATTTAGGAACGTTTTAAACCAAGGAGGTGCAAGGCTCACATATTAAAACTACAAAATGTTGCCTAATGAAATTAAAGAATATCTAAATAAATTGACAGATCCCCCCCCCCCGTGAGGTTACCATTGTGAAAATGGCAGAGGAAGCCACAGATTCCGTGATTCCTGTCAAAATTCCAACCACCTTTCATTGTTTTCAGAAATGGGCAAGGTGATTCTGAAATTCATATGGAATTTCAAAGGACCCTCAATAGCCAAAACAATCTTGAAAAAAAGAGAACGAAGTTGGAAAACTCCTACTTCTGAATTTCCAAGTTTTTGGATAGCTACATCATAAAAACAGTGCGGTACTGGCTACGAACGGATACGGAGCCCAGTGAGACGGAAGTGCATCCAGGAGTAGATCCGGGCATCCACCCCCAACTGATTTCCAGCAATGGCGCCAAGCCCATTCAAAAAGGAAAGAGCAGTTGCTCCTACAGACCCACAGACAACCGGACGTCCACATGCCACGGGAGATCAGACCTCTAGGCCACACAGGTCACAGTCCTGAGGGTCCGAGAGCGCCCTCCGTGCCTGGGGCACCCCTCTCGCTCCTTGCCTGACACTGCAGTGAGAAGCCTCGGTTTGGATGGGCAGCCAGCGAATGACCAGGCCAAGGGGTCCTGCTCCTCTGCGGCGCCCGCTGTCCTGTAGCCAACCCTGAGCATGGGGGTGGGGAGGGGGTGAGCGCCTCACCTCCTGGCCCCGGTGGGGCGGAGTTCATGGGGGACAGGCGCACAGCTCTGGCCTATTCCAGTCTACACGGTCATCCTTGCTGGCGGGATGGGGCTCGGCCAAGCTGGACTCCAGTGTGTCCCCACCTCTCCTCCTGCCGTGCTCCCTGCTGTCCTTCTCTGGTGGCTGGATGCTGAGTCCTCAGCATTCCGGGGATCAGGACTGCTTCAGGGCAGGCAGAGCTGGGGTCACCTGTCCTCCTGTGGGCCTGTGCTGCAGATCCCTGCCCGCCTGTCTGGCCACACTGAGCCCCTCCGGTTCTCTCGGTATGGGCCCGTTGGTCCTGTGACAGGCCTAGGAGAGGCTGAAGGCAGGCAGGCAGCTGGCCCAGCACAGGCCCTGCCCCAGCCCCACTGGTCCCTTCCCTGCTCCAGAGGGAGGCCCTCTGTGATGCTCCTGTTGCCATGGTGACCCTAGGTGAGGGGCCACATGTGGGCCTGCTCATTCCACCTGCCCCCCATGGCTCTCCAGCACCCAGGGGCTTGAGCGACTGGCTGCAGTGGTCCAAGGCTCTTCCCTGCGCTCAACCCCGGCACAGCCCCTCCCTGACAGGTAAAGCCCCATCCCTGAAAGTCACCTCCACAGCAGAAGCCGAGGTGAGGAGGGGAAGGGCCCAGGAGCCAATGCCGGACTGAGGTTCCATCCCACGTCATCGAGAGTGGTGTGGCCTGGGCCGAGGCAGGCCTGGAGTGTCCTCACTTGTATCCCGAAGTGTCCTTCAGTAACGCCTCTGTCACGTGCCCAGGGCCATTCCCCTATAGCCAGTGCCCTTTCATTCCTTCTCCTCAGCTCAGTGGACTCCTACTCATGATCCAAGACCCAACTCAAATGCTCCCTTCTCTGTAAAAGTCTCCTTGACCACTGCGCACTTGGCCCACGGCTTAGGTCAGAGTGTGTCACTGTGTGTCAGAGCTGCTGAAGGGTCTGATTTTCATGTGGCCGGAACTTCTTGCAGGAGGAGTCAGAATAAGCTCCATTCTGGCATTAGAGAGCTCTTATTGAATGGTCACTTTGTGCAACAGAAACTGGGTAGGGGCCGTTCTTCAAGGCTCTGCCCTGGGCCCTTTCTGCACCCATGGCTGGGCAGCCGGTACTGTGGTAGCTTCCCTGTGTGCCCCGGCTGTGCCCGGCTGGCTGGGGACGTGTTCATGGCTGAGACTCACAGAGATCAGGACGTGTGTCTGCACATACATGCACACAGGTGTCCACAGGAGGTCCTGGGCATCTGTGGGGGCAGGGAGCCTGGAGCAGCTAGGACTGTGTCTCCAGCTCCTAGCAGGGTCCCTCAGTGCTGACGTGGGCAGGGGGCGGGAGGGAGCTGCCCGCACCACCTCAGTGCCCACACCTGCCCAGGCTTCCTTGGCAAGAGCCATGGGTCATAGGCGCCCCCCAGTGGCCTCCTCGGGAAGCAGGAACCAGCTTCCACCAAGGTTGGAGTGGGCATCGCTGTGCAGGGGCCGGGCCAGGCACTGTCTACCTGTGACTTAAAGCACCTTTGTTAGCGCCTGGGAAGTGGGACACCCCTCCCACGTGTGAAGAGGGAAGTAGGCCCCACAGTGAGTTATCCACACCTGGAAAACACGACACCCAAGCCCACCGAGCCGTGCCCACGTGCTGGGCACAGGGGCTGGGCTTGCCAATGCTGCCCAGGAAAACCCGGGACACAGGTGTGGGACGGGACGAGTATTCCCCCTCTGTCCTCCTCAACCCTACTGCCGAGGCAGACGTTACTGCCCCGTTTCACAGAGAAGGAAATGGAGGCTCATGGCCCCTCTTCCGGGAAGCCCTCTGGATCTGGGCGGAGACAGCCGCCAGCCGCTGTGAGAAGGCACCCACGTGGCGGGGGAGTTGCTGCCGTGTGGCTGTCCTGTTTTCCGCTGGCAGAGTGCTACAAGGCAAAGGGATCCGTCCAAGATCTTCTGGCTCAGCACTGTTACACAGGGACAGAGGGGAAAGGAGGTGGGGACAGCGGGCCTGTGGGAATGCAGGCACAGGGTCATGCTCCAGGTCAAGGTGTGTGGGTGCCCAAGGACACCCATGTCACAATCCCATACAATGTCCCCGAGACACAAACCAGACTCCCGAAGCCCCGGGCAGCACGTGTCAGGAAACACCCCAGCAAGGGCCAGTGTGGCTCGGAGCGCTGCTCCTCTCCCAGCACGGGAGGCTGAGTGTGCTGGGACGTGGTGGGTTCTCCAGGCTGCCCGGATGTGGGTATGCAACCCCTCCCTCACACTGGCTGCTGGGCCGAAGCAGGGAGCCACAGCTGGGCTCCACCCAAGATCCCCCTGCCCCTTCTCCTGCCAGAGCTCCCCTGCATCCACTTAGGGGTCCTAGGGGCCAGTCACAGCCAGCATGGGCCATGACATCACCAGCAGCCAATCAGAACTCCTCCCAAGGCAGCTGGATCTTGTCATCGAAGGAGAAGATGAAATTTCAGGGCAACAGCCTCCTTCTCAGACAGCGATGCGGGGTCCCCACCCTGGGCGCCACAGGGCCAAGACAGGGAGCCAGGATTTCTGCCCAAGGCCCAGCGCGCCTTCCCCAGCGCACTCGGCAGCCCAGCCGCAGCCCCCAGGCCGGCAGAGGCCCCCATGTCCCTAACTCTTCCCACGAGACCTTAGGACCCAGGACACCCGGGTTTTAGGACCGCAACACAGGGGGATGTTGCCCCAGACTCCAGCCCCGGAAGGAATTAGAGGGGCCCCGGCTGTGCCGGGCTGGTTATGCCTCAGCAGATTACAGCCGGCCAGACAAGGTCTCCTTTGTGGTGGCCCTGGCTTATGCGGTCAAGTGACCACGCAGCACTCACAGATGTGGGCAGGGCCAGCCTCCAAGGGTGGACAGGGGCACTGGCCACGGGTCTCTGAGCGCCCACCAGCCCGGAGCCAGACCTCGTGGGACTGCCTGGCCAGCTGCAGCCCTCGTGAGGGCACTAGTGGAGACAGGGCTGGGCTCTGACAGCCTTCAGGGTAAGTGACCAGAAGGGCACGCGCAGGCCACTCACAGGCAGGGACGTGGCCCTGGGTGTTTGTGTAGAGGCCTTGAGATGGGAAGGAGCTTGGTGTCACCAGGTGCAGTGACACCCCCAGTCTGTGGCTACCTCAAAAAAGTGGGGGTCCGCAATCATTGCTTCAGTGCATTTTTATTGTGCGCCTGCTATGGAAACACAGGAACAAGAAGCAGGAGGATGTCCCATACCATATCAGCTCAAGAAGGAACGGTGCTGTGTGGAAGACCCTGCTGGTGGCAGTGGCACTCCTCCCAGTAGGACAGTTGGGGACATGCTCTGTGAGGAAGTGACCCAAAGAGAGGGAGCTAGGCAGTTACCCCAGGCCCCTCGGCCCAGGCGGCAAGTCCCTGGACCACCGTTTGGTCACCAGGCTCTGTGCAGGGAGGGGGATCCCGTGGCAGGCAGACCTGACCAGGGCCCCTACCTACTCCCTCCAGGGAGCGAGGCCCTGAGCACACACCTGCGTCCTCCCTGCTGACGCCGGCCGGGCCTCCAGGCTCACTCGCTTGGGTCCCCAGCCTCCCAGGCAGTCAGTTGGGTGGGCCTCACAGACCCTCTCAGCCTCCTCCCAGCACCCTCCAGCAGAGAGCTGAGGTCCTGAGCAGGGATGGGGCCTGGCTAAGGTCATGGGTGAGGCCCCCACCTCTCTCTTTGTACCCTTCCACCAGGACGCAAGCCACCTGCTGCCACCCGGCGCAGCCATGACCATCACCTACACCAACCAGGTGGCCAACGTGCGCCTGGGCACCTTCTGCCGCCTGCTGCTCTGCTGGCGAGGCAGCATCTACAAGCTGCTCTACGGGGAGTTCCTCATCTTCCTGCTGTGCTACTACACGATCCGATACATTTACAGGTAGGGGGTCAGACAGGGCGGGGGCTCCCCATACCCTGTGGGATCCATCCCCGGTACCACAGCAGCTGCAGGAAGGCCCGGGACCCCTGGCTGAGCTGGTCCAGCCCGGCCACCAGTTGCAGGAATCCCACATACTCTTAGGCCCAGAGGGCTATGTAAATGTTTACCTCAACAATAAAATGTTACAATCTTTTTTTTGTTTTGTTTTGTTTTTGTTTTTCTTCCGGTACCGGGAATCGAACTCATGACCTTGCGCTTGCCAGGCAGGTGCTGTGCCGCTGAGCTAAATCCCCAGCCCCGATCTTTCATACTTTTTTCTTTTCAATTGGAGGGTTTTGTTGTTTTTAGAGCAGCTTGGGGTGCACAGCAAAATCACGCAGGGCAGCTTCCTCGCTCCCCGCCCCGACACCGGTACCTTTGTCACCGTGCCACCGAGCCCGCCCTGGCACCGTGTCACCCGCAGTCCCGGCGGCGGCGTGCCGGATGACACGCAGCAGGGTCCTGCCGGGTCGGCCCGCGCCGCCCGCCCCATCTCCGTGCCGTCCCCAGGCGGGCCCTCAGCGAGACGCAGCAGGCGGTGTTTGAGAAGCTGAGCTTGTACTGCGACAGCTACATCGAGCTCATCCCCGTGTCCTTCGTGCTGGGTGAGCGCCCCTCCGGCCTCGGGGGCCCGCGGGTGGGGGTCGGGTCTTCGGGCACGCGCGCCCCTCGGCCCGCCGCGCCGGGCACCGGGCTCGCCACAGCCGCCCGCGCCCGCGCCCCGCCTCTCCAGGCTTCTACGTGACGCTGGTCCTCACGCGCTGGTGGAACCAGTACGAGAACGTGCCGTGGCCCGACCGCCTCATGAGCCAGGTGTCGGCCTACGTGGAGGGCAGAGACGAGCACGGCCGGATGCTGCGGCGCACGCTCATGCGCTACGCCATACTGGGTCACGTCATCATCCTGCGCAGCGTCAGCACCGCGGTCTACAAGCGCTTCCCCAGCCTGCAGCACCTGGTGCAAGCCGGTAGGCGGGGCCAAAGCCTGGGGGCGGGGCGCGAGGGTAGGCGGAAAGCCTCCAGCCCGGCTCTCAATAGGGGGCGGGGCCGGAGGGGCGGGGCCGGATGGAGTAGGTGGAGCCTCCAGTACTCACAATGGGTGGGCGGGGCTAAAACGGGCGGGTGGGCGGGGTTTCAGTATTCGGTGTCGCCGGCGGGCGTGGCTTGGGTTGGGGAGGGCACAGTGGGGCGAGGCTTTCAGTCCTAACACCGGCCGGTGGGCGGGGCCCGATGCTGGGGGCGGGACTTGGTGGGCGGGGCCAGGGCCCTACGCTGGAGGGCTGTGTGCAAGCAGAGCTGGGCGGGGCGGAGTCAGTGCTCGAGCCCTCCCACTCGCACCTTCCCGCCCTCCGCAGGCTTTATGACTCCCGGGGAGTACAAGAAGCTGGAGCAGCTGAGCCTCCCCCATAACATGTTTTGGGTGCCCTGGGTATGGTTTGGCAACCTGGCCATGCAGGCCTTGCACGAAGGCCGGATCCGCGACCCGGTGCTGCTGCAGAGCCTGCTGAACGTAAGCCCTCCCACCGCGAGAGGGGCCGGGGAGGCCGCGCCCCGAAGGTCTGCCCAGGCCTGTGCGGGGTCTGGGGCTGGGGGAGTCGCAGGGCTCTGCCCGCCGCGAGGAGGCCCTTCTCTGAGCGAGCCCGTCGGTCCTAGCTCCTTTCCTCTGGCTGAGGAGCCCAAGGCACAGAGAGGTTTAGAGAGCTGCGGGTGACCACACAGCAGGGGTGGGCCAAAGCCAGCCCCTGGCGCCTGGGAGGAGCTGGGGGACCTGGCGGGTCAGTGGTCAGATCCCGTCCCCTCCGCAGGAGATGAGCATCCTACGCACTCAATGTGGAGTCCTGTATGCCTACGACTGGATCAGTATCCCGCTGGTGTACACACAGGTGGGGACCTGCCTGCTGAGGTGTCATTCGGGGAAGTGAGGCCAGGAAGACCCAGGAAGCAGACTCACCCTGGGTCTGGACTTCGAAGACTCCCCGGATGAGGCCCACGGAGGCGGTGTGCGTGTCCTGCAGCAGGAGGGGTGCCGGCGGCAGAGGGCCTGCGGCCCAGCCTGGGGCTGCTCCGATCCAGCGGGCCCTCCCCTCCCCCTCCCAGGTGGTGACCGTGGCGGTGTACAGCTTCTTCCTGGCCTGCCTGCTGGGCCGGCAGTTTCTGATCCCGGAGAAGGCCTATCGGGGCCACGAGATGGACCTGGTTGTGCCCATCTTGACGTTCCTGCAGTTCTTCTTCTACATGGGCTGGCTGAAGGTGAGCCTCTCTGTGATGCCTCACCTCCACTGGATGGTGGGCGCTGGGCCTGTCACAGCCCTGGCCGGTGTGACCTGGGGTTTCACACAGAGGGATCTGCCGAGGCTTGTGTCTGACCACGACACAAGAGACGGAGGGCTCCAGTGGCCTCAGGACGTGCGGTGCCTGGCGAGAGCCAGAGGGGCAGGGCCTGGCCAGCTTGCTCTGGGTCAACTCTGCTTAGTGACGCAAAAGCCCGGACTTCGCAACCCTGACCCCTTTAGAAGCAGCTCAAGGGGCCAGGGATATAGCTCAGCGGCACATGAGCCTGCCTGGCAAGCGCAAGGTCCTGAGTTCAATTCCTGGTGCAAAAAAAAAAACCAGCTCTGGACCCCCTGCGCCCCCACCCGTGGGTTGTTTCTTGCTCACCCAGGACCTAGGGCCCTAGTGGGGCCTCGGGTGTGTTTTCTCTGCCTTTCTCTTGCCTTCCTTCCATCTCTGACCCACTCTCCCTTTTCTCAGTTTAATTTCTTTCTGGCAGTGGTGGTGAGGATCTCTCACATGCGCACACACAGCTGCTCCCCCTCTGTCTGCTCTCAGTTAACTCTGCTTTCTAAAGCTCCACCTAGACCCCACTGGTGCACCCTTGGAATTCTCCAGGGTGTCCCCGTGGCTTGCAAGCTGTCCCTTGGGCCCCGGGGCAGCTCAGTGCCTCAGTGCGACTGTCAGGGCACTGCCCACCAGGACCACCCTCGCATTCAGCACAGTGAATGAATAAACTGTGCCTCCTGGTGAGGTATGCGACATGAGCAGCTCCCCCAGCGACAGCGGAGGTGCTCTGGGTCACACACGGGTTCGGGGCCCAGAAGGGCAGAGCGTGTGTGGCCACAACCCTGCACTGCAGCGGTGAAGACAGCCGTCAGACAGCAGGGGGTCCTGGTGTGGGAATGGCGGGGTCCCCTTCGGGAGGGAAGGGCTCCAGGAGCTCCACCCGAAGGCCTGCAGAGCCGCTCCTGTCCCCAAGGTGGCAGAGCAGCTCATCAACCCCTTCGGAGAGGATGATGATGACTTCGAGATCAACTGGATCCTGGATAGGAACCTGCAGGTACGGGGAGGCTGCACGTGGGCCTTCCCACGGGGACCCACGGGGACCCGCGGAGTGACCTGGCCCTCCTGCCCCTGGCAGCCGGTCGTTCGCCGCCAGGACTCTCCCCTCCATGTCTGAGGCTGCAGGCAGGCACCCATCTCCATTTCACAGGCAGGAAATTGAGGCCCAGAGAGAGGGAAGTGACTTCACCAAGCGACCAGGTGAAGTCACGCTCCTGCACCCTCTGCCCCCGATGACCAGGTGTCCCTGCTGTCCGTGGATGAGATGCACCAGAACCTGCCCCCGCTGGAGCGGGACATGTACTGGAACGAGATGGAGCCCCAGCCGCCCTACACAGTCGCAGCCTCACAGTCCCGCCGCACCTCCTTCCTGGGCTCCACCTTTAACATCAGGTGGGCTGTGAGGCTGGCAGGGCTGCTGCCTCGGGAACAGCACTTCCTGTGCTCACTGGCGCCCTCGCGGGCCAGGCCCCGAGCTTTGCTCTTTGTACACATTGCTCTGAGGCCCGCAGAAGCCTTGTTTACCTCCCCTTTTCAGACTATTCCGCACAGCTCAGAGAGGGGAGCCAGGTAGCCCAGTCCAGAGTCACAGAGCCGACAGAGGCCGACAGTGGCAGCTGTGTCCACTGTCACCTCTGTGCCCCGGCCCCTCACTCTGCTGTGCTGGGCAGGGACACGGGAGGCTGGAGTGTGCCCAAGTCCCTCCTGCCTAAGCTCTCCCTGCCGGTCGGAAACTGAGGCCCAGAAGGGGAGCACTGGTGAGCAGCCGGTGGCAGTGGCTCAGGGGTGTCAGGACCTGCTTCCTACCTATAGCTGGATCTCTTCTGACCAAGTAGTCTGGGTGGAGAGAAGAGAGTGCTCAGTGTCGGGGGGACTTTGTCCTCAGAGTGAAGGCCACACAGCAGACAGGTGCTCCTGCCTGGAGCTGTCTCCTTCGTCCCAGGCAGCTGTACTGAACGTCCTGTTGTGCAGTTTTTGGTGCTTGCTGCTCTCTGCTGTGTGTGTGTGTGTGTGTGTGTGTGTGACTGGTATTGAGCGTAGGGTCCTGCACTGAACTACTGTACATCCTCAGCAACCCCCCTTTTTTTTTTTAAATTTTGAGCCGGAGTCTAAGTTGCTAAATTGCCGGGATAAACTCGAACTTGTGATCCTCCAGCCTCAGCGTCCCTGAGTGCAAGGTCTCTTTGCTCTTTAGTTGGGATTAGCTTGAGGCCATAACTGGCACGAAGACAGGCTGGGAAAGTGGCCTAGTGAAGGTCGGCGGCTGGTTTGGGTGAGGGACATTCTGGAGGGTGCGTGGAGCCTCATGGGGCCTGAGCCCCAGCTCTGGGAAGGTGGTCACCGGGTGATCACGCACAGACCTTGCCTCCAGGGAACACCTAGGTCGCAAGGGGGCTCAGGCCCAAGAGCTAGGCTTTGGGTACAAGGTCCAAAGACCCAGGTGCTTGAAGAGAGATCCCAGGGGCAGAGGTTGCCTGTTGTGGGCGGGCAGGTGGCCTCTCTAGGCCAGGGGACGGATGTGGGCCTGGCCAGGGGCAGCCACGGTCCTCCCTTGGAGGATGCTGCCCTTGGGCGGCCCCCAAGCCCCAAGCCTTGCCCAGAGTCCCTCTGGGCCCTGGGCGAATGCCATACACTCAGGACCAGCGGCTCCTGGACCTGGAGCAAACAGTTGTAACGGGAGGAAGGCATGAAGAACAAGAGCCCTGTGATGCCCGGGGAGGGCTGTGGGCATGGGGTGGCTGGACAGCAAGGCCCGCTGGAGGGAGGCAAGCCTGAGCACCGCGGCCCTGGGCCTGGACAGCGCACAAAGCCAGACTTCCATCCCTCATCCCTCTGCCCTTTGCAGCCTGCCGCTGGAAGACATGGAGTTCCAGCCGATCCAGGAGGAGAGTGAGACCCACCAGGAGGTCATCGACCGCTTCCTTGGGCAGCAGATCTGCGAGTACTCTTCGCGGAGGCTGCCTCACACCAAGAAGAAGCCTTTCCGCCCCTACAGCTGGGTCAGGGGCACCCCGCAACACCAAGGGGCCCAGGAAGATGGCAAGCTCCGGTCCACGGATGCCTTCAAGGTGGCCCCCCTGTACGAGACGCCTGGCTACCACAGCGCCCCGCAGACGCCCCTCAGCCGCTCCCCCACCGTCTTCCCCGAACTGTTCGAACCCCATACACCTCACACCTCGAGCACAGATGCCAAAGACCAGAGCCTGAAGCCAGCAGGGTCTGCGCCCAACATTTATGAGCTGCTCCCAACCAGTGACAGTGCCTTGGGGCCCCCGGAGGCCCATCCTGCAAAGAGGAGCACAGACCTGATGGATCCGCCGGAGGCCCCCAGAGGTTACCTCCCAGAGCCACATACGGAGCAGTCACCTAGCAGCCTGTACTCTACACCCAGGGAGCTGTCGGACCCCTACTGGACCTTGGAAAACAGGTCTGTCCCCAGCCAGGGTCTCTCAGGGCCTTGCCCTGTGCCCTCAGGCTCCACCGTGCAGAGCCTGCCTTCCTACCACAACTTCGTATGATTCCCCTGTTGCCTGAGTAGAGGACCCGTATACGCACGGCTGAGGGAACACACCAGTCCCCCCACCAGGACACCCTGGGGACATTGAGGGGTGCTGTGTCACCAAAAGCTTGGCATGGTCAGGAAAGCCTGCCCGGCCAAGGCCAGTGGAGGGAAATGCGGTTGCAGGGCTGGTCAGGGCCCAACACTCCTGGGCTGGCAGGCCAGGGGCAATGGGGCAGGGGCAGTGGACGTGGAGCCGCCGGCAGTCCCTGGGCTGGAGCTGTAGTCAAGATGTGACTCAGCCCAGTAAGCTGGAAGCTGGCAAAGCAGCAGCTGCCCAAGCCCTCAGAGGTGCCACCCAAGCACCCATGAGAGGAACAGCACGAGTAGGAACTGGCAGGAAGGGGGCAGGTCTTAGGGTGTCTTCTGCTCAGGCCTCACCAAAACTGGGCCACTCTGTTCTTCGGTGGAGTCCTCACAAACTACTTCCCTTTAGATTTCCTGGAATTTTGCCCAATTCACAACCCCCTTTCCCTCCCAGTCACAACACACGGAGGAAAAGCGTGACTTCCCACTTCTATATTCAAAAGCAGTTTCACTTGGCTTCTAGGGCAGTGATGCAGAGCTTAGAGCTTTCAGTGACACACACTACCACGGTTCACGGGCAAGGCAGGAACTTTTTCCCAAGCAGCTGTGGTTAAGTCTGAACTTTGGCCACCTAGCACAAACCTTGCATCTTGCAGGAACTGCCTTCCCCTTCCTCAAGCAGCAACCCCTCTCACACCCCATGCAGGGACAGCACCCGCTCCTGACCCATCTCAGGAAGACGTGTCACCAGCCTGGTCCTCGCCTGCGCGTACACCGCCGGGACACTGGTCCAGTCGTAGCTACACAGCTGTCCACACCAGAGTTCGTTCCTGTGACAGCCTGAACGGTTAGCTTAGCAGGTGAGAAAGGAGCTCAGGACTCCTTCAGCTCTTAGCTGCCTTTTGAGTCCACATCCTGTAAGCCAGAATGAACCACACAGGGGAAACATGTAGTTGTGGTCACCTACTGCAGAAGTGAGTGCCTCCGTCTGGCTGGACTAAACACACCCACACCTCCATGTTTCCCAAGCTGAGAATTTAATAAACACAAGCATTTATTCTTTTAGGTGTTCTACTTTGATTAGTGTGACCACTACTCAGCTAGTCCGTTTAGGAATTTGAAAGACGACTGAGGAAGATTTCTGCCACATCCCAACCAGAAGACAACAGCTGGGTACCAAATTTCTTTATTTGAAGGAATTAAAGAACTTGAGTAGGTGTTCTGATACAATTCATAGAAAAGGTAAAGGTAACCCCAGCATGCATGTGCTGCCTTAGTGATGTTAGCTCTTGTCACTGTCCCCCAGGGTATGCTTGTCAAAGAGGTACTCTGCCATGCCGGACTCGGGGGCTCCCATCTTGCGCAGGTTGGTCACATAGTCACCCAGCTCTTTGATAGCCTTCACCTGCTCGTCCAGGTAGTGAGTCTCGATGAAGTCACACAGCTAGGAGGGGGAAGAAAGTCAGCTTCCTCCACCCCATGGACAGACTCCCTCGGCCGCCACCCAGGTCCCTGTACTCACGTGGGGGTCATTCTTATCAGTGGCCAGCTTGTGCAGCTCCAGGAGTGACTGATTCACGCTCTTCTCCAAGTGCAAGGCACACTCCATCGCGTTCAGCCCGTTCTCCCAGTCATCACGCTCTGGTTTCTGAGCAAGAGTCGCTAGATCAACCCCTCTGCAACCTCTGCCACGCCAGCCCAAGTCTGCAAGAACTGCCGTCTAATGCCCGTGTCCCTTCCAACAGTTCCCGCCTTACTGGCTGTGCCCAGGGCTGCGGCCCGTGTTAGCCTGGATGGGAGCTCCCACAAGCACGGAGCCATCACTGCACACAGAAGGGCCACCATGGCTCCTCAGACCCTCCCTCCCCACTCACCTTGATATCCTGAAGAAAGATCCGGCCACCGCGCTGGTTCTGCAGCTTCATCAGTTTCTCCGCATGCTCCCTCTCCTCGTGAGATTGGTGAAGAAAGTATTTGGCGAAGTTCTTCAAAGCCACATCATCGCGGTCAAAGTAGTAAGACTGAAAGTAAACAGGACCACTTTCCAGGGAGTGCTGCTGGGAGGGCTTTGCCTGCCTGTCCAGCTTACCCTTCTCACAGCTGGGCAAGAGTGGCCAGGTGTGTTCCAGGAAGGAACACTGATTTTTTTTTTTGTCTTTCTGAGACAGAGTCTCCCTATGCAGTTCAAGCTGGCCTTCAGCTCACTTTGTAGCCCAAGCTGGTCTTGAACTCGCAACAATCCTCCTGCCTCAGCCTCAGGAGTGCTGGGATTACAGGCGTGCGCCACCACGCCCGGCTGGGACTCTGATCTTTAAATTAGTAAACTGGTGGCATAAGCCTGTAACCCATCACTCAGAAGGCTGAAGCTGGAGGATCACTGAGTTCAAAGCCGCCTGGGCTACATCGTGAGACCCTATCTCAAGAAAAAACCCCAGGAAACTGAAACCTGGTCACTGAGAGTTGATTACTTCATGACGCTTTAGATTAGCACGGGCATCATCTCCCGCAGTGTTTGTAGGGAAACTGCTCCGGCCAGAGAGGCAACCCGCCTGTGCCTGGCCAGAGAGGGCGCGGAGTACTTGCCCCGCGGTTACTGTTTTTAAAACAGGCTCACGAGCTCTCCAGCTGCACCCGCAAAGTTCACCCCGGCAGGGGAGTTTGAGGCTGAGATCCGCGGCCGCCCCCGCCGCTGCGCCCCGGGTGCGCCCGCTCGATCGGGCGCGG